CAGCTAGTTCCTGAAACACTGAACCAGCTAATCCTAGATTTCTGATTCTTCCCTCCCTGCTTAGATTTTTGGTTCTATTTTTTCCTGCTAGGGGGATCTGGATTTATCCAGGTCTTTCAGTTTCTATAAAACAAAGTAAACATTTCAAACATATTTTCTTTTTTTTCCTGCAAAATCCAGATGCTCCAGACAAGCTATTTTATGGAATGTACAAAATCATTTTCAAATTGTCCACCATTCTTTCATGATGCCTACTAGCGTCTTTCATAAAAACAGGTACTTTTTAAATAGTTAGCAGGCTTAGATCTGCGTTGTAATTGAAGTCGGCCAGTCTCCTAAATTGTAAAAATATAAATATCTGACTTACTAGGTCTTCATGAACATTTCTAATACATACACATGTAGGAGCCAGCCTTGATAAGTTAAATATAAACAGATCACCCAAAGGAAGTTCTTTACTTCCAACCATTATCACCTGCCAGAGTAGGACTCAGCCATCGATAAATTTAATAGAGGCCTGAGCCTCAGTAGTTTACCCTGAAGCAGTGCCTGATTTCAGGAAGGACCACAAACTGAGATTACCTGAGCACCACTCAAGACCACACCATCCAAAGGAAATGCCTAACATTCCAACCGCTGTAAATAGAATCACCTGCCAGCACACACTCACCAGGGCACCCTAGACAAATGTCAGCCAATCAGGGGTCCTGAACCTCAGAAACCCCTCACCCCTATTTTTACTACTATAAAAACCCAATTCTAGCTGAGCTCTGGGTTCTCTGTTTATTCCAATACGTTGGGCATGCAGAGTGGCCGACTTTGCAAACTTGCATAAAATAAAGGCTCTTTGCTTTTACATACAGGACTCGGTATCCTTGCTGGTTGGGGGGGGTGGATTTAGCGGATTTGGGCATAACACACACACACACGCACACACACACACACGTATATAATTTTCACACATGTATATGCACATAGTTTATTATATATAATTCAATCTCATTCTTTTTTCTTTATTCTTTTCTCAAGGAACACATCCTGACTACAGCCTCCCTTCCCTCTCCTCTTCACAAGTTCCTCCTCTTCTCTCCCTCAGACCCACAGCTCCTCCATTTCCCTTTAGAAAAGAGCAGGCCCCTCAGTGTTATTAACCTAACAAGATGCAATAAGACTCGGCACAGACCCTAGTTGGCTGGAGAGGCAATTCAGTAGGAGGAAACGGTCCGTATGGACACCTGATTTTTGACAAAGAAGCCAGAAATACATAATGAAAAAAAAAAAGAAAGCATCTTCAAAACAAATGATGCTGGTCTAACTGGATGCAGAAGAATGCATGTAGAAGAATGCACATAGATCCATATATATCACCTTGCACAAAATTCAAGTCCAAGTGGATCAAAGACATCACACAAAACCAGATACACTGAACCTGACAGAAAGGAAAATAGGGAGTAGCTCTGAATGCACTGGCACAGAAGACAATTTTCTAAACAGAGCACTGATAGTTTAGGCAATAAGATTGACAATTAATAAATGGGACCTCATTTATTAATTGAAAATTGAAAAGTTTCTGTAATAGAACAAAACAGTAGACTCTAGAATGGGAAAAGATTTTCAACAATTCTACCTTCAATTGAAGGCTAATCAAAAATATACAAAGAGAGCTGGAGAGATGGCTCAGTGGTTGCTCTTCCAGAGGTCCAGAGTTCAATTCCCAGCAACCACATGGTGGCTCACAACCACCTATAACAGGGTCTGATTCCATATTCTGGCATGCAGGTATATAAGGAGAGCATTCATACATAAAATATAAATAAATTTTTAAAAAGTGTGCACCACCATGCCCAACCAACATTTAAAAAAAATACATACAAAGAACTAAAAAAACTAGATATCAACAAACCAAACATTCTAATTAAAAATGGTGTACTTGCCAGATGGTGATGGTGCATGTCTTTAATCCCAGTCTTCGGGAGGCATACAGTCACTATGGAAATCAATATGCCGGTTCTTCAGGAAATTGGAAATTAATCTACTTCAAGACCCAGCCTATACCACTCTTGGGTATATACTCAAAAGATGCTCCATCATCCCACAAGGACACTGAAGGGCTCAGCTTTGTTCATTGTAGCTTTATTCATAATAGACAGAAATTGGAAACAACCTAGATGTGTCTCAACTGAAGAATGGATAAAGAAAATGAGGTGTATTTACACAGTGGAGTTATTATTCAGCTGTTATGAAAAAATGACACCATGAAATTTGCAGGCAAATGGATGGAACTAGAAAAAAAATTGTTCTGAGTGAGTCAACCAAGACCTAGAAATACAAAAGAGTAGATGATTGGTGCAATTCTATATGCCCCATTCTCCAGAGAATCGAGGAGGAGAGACCCCCTACAGGGATTCCTTCCTATCAGTGAAATCAAAGAGCACACATCGAGTGTTCCAGCTTGTCTGGGATATGTCCAGGGCTGGTTCTGTCTGTTATTTGGATTGTTGATGGGAAGGAGAGTTGCCGATTTTGTTAAAGAACTTTAGTTTTCAGTATGTAGCCCAAGAAGCCAGATTCAGCCACCCACCCTTGAGAAGCCAAATTAATACTGCATGGGGGACCAGAAAAGGGAGATTTCTTCAACATGGCCACAATGGGAAGAGTGACTCTGCCCCTGCTAAGTTACAGTTTTGGAGCTCACAGAACATGCTCCAAGTGCAGTTCCCATGCGAATACTAAGGGGAGCAAGAGATGAGGAAAAGATTTGAGGAGCGCCGTTAATTCAAACTGGACTGCTTGAAGAAGTGTTCCCTTGAGTGGTGAGCTTCTGTAAACCCGGAAGAGATGACTTGGTTTTCAAATGCTGAAGCCACAGTGAGAACTGGACACAATGGTGCATGCCTTTAATCCCAGGACAGAAGGGGCAGATTCAGAGGCAGAGGCAGGCAGAACTCTGTTAGTTTGAGGACATTCTGATCTACATAGCAAGATCCAGAGCAGCCAGAACTACGTAGACAGACATTGTCTTAAGAAAACCAAACCAAAGCAAAAAACAAAGGCAGAAAATATTCCACACAGATAAAAGAAACAGGGAAAAATGGCCCCATCAAATGAAGAAATAGGGAAAGATGGTCCCATAAATGAAGGAACAGGGAAAGATGGTCCCATCAAATGAAGGAACAGGGAAAGATGGTCCCATCAAATGAAGAAAAGGATGCTCCACAGACTAAAGTGTCACAGATATGTGAGCTGCTTGACAATAATTTTTTTTAAAAAAATTGTACTAAACATAATCAGTCAGCTGACAGAACCACAGAGAAAGCACTTATGGAGGACAGGGAAATGATGAATGAACAAAACTACCTAGCAATTTAAATAGAACCAAACAGGAAGACAAAAGGCATCCGATCATCTCCGGGAATGCAGAAGCTGCTTTGACAAGATTACACACCTCTTCATGCTGAGATGTTTATCAAGTAGTGGGGAAGTCCATCCCTGAAGTTAGTCACAGACTAGGGAGATGGTTCTTTAGGGGGAGGCTTCTACCACCA